ACCTGTATCATTTATTTCTCAGCAAACTGTCAAACATCTTTCCAACTCAAGTAATGATAAGCATTGATTTTTTTTTTTTACAAATTCACATCTCAGAAAGGTAAAAGTGTCAGAAACAATCCTAAAAATTCTGTGGTTGTCTGAAATATATATTTGAATATTCTATCATTGAATGATCACTCATAAGCCATCAATAAACTACTGAGAATAATTTTCACAGTAAGAATATACTCATAATTGTGATGAACAAAATCATTACAAAAGGAAGCATAATATATATGTTAAAAATTAACGATAAACCTATATTTAACCCAACTACGTGGCATTCACTCACACCTAATTGAGAGTTTTCTATACAACAGACATTGAGGATAAAATGTAGAATAAGATACCAATCCAAATTTAATGGGCTCAGATTTGATACAGAAAAACAAAATAAGATGAAGACCCTAGTGGGGAGATCATGAGAAAATGGTCATCTTCAGTTAAATGAAGAAGACCTCAAGAGACACCAACCAGTATCTTGGTCTTTGAATTATGGTCTTAGAAAATTAAAAATACCTTTGAACCTCTGCTATTTTCTCATGGTACCTGAATTGTCTAATACCCTGTCCCAAGTATTCACCTCTCTGAGCATTCAGATTTTATTTTTTTATTTTGTTTTGTGTTTTACCATAAACAAAAGAAGAATATTAGCCTTCATTTTATGCTTAACTTCAAATATTTATGATACAATTCACAGCATTTTGAATAAAAATGATTACACATTGTGAAAATTTAGAAGAATTTACACATTACTGAGGTGGACTATGCTTTCCCTTGAACTTTTTCCTGGATTATTTGCAAATTTTGCTGTCATACAAAAAAAGATATAGTCTTTAGGGATCATATTTAATTGTAAGTAATCTTCCATTTCACAATGCAACTAAACTTATTTTACTTCCATTTTTACAACTCTATGATGGTGAATGAAATGCTTTGATATTTGGAGTGATGCCAAGTATAGTTTCTTTAGCATCAGAATAATTAATCATTGACATGACCAACTATGATATATTTAACATTATAATTTCTCAGTATACTCTAATGCAATCATTTCACTGGACCTAAGACCAGAATTATACGAGGATTAGTGTATTTCCTCACCTACAGATGAATAAACTGAAGTTCAAAGAGTCTTAGCTGTAACTACTTGGACAAGGAGTGGTTCTGTAATACACACTAAGTCAAACAGCTACTACTGAAATGTGCAGTCAAACACAGAGCAAAGAGCCGAAAATTACTTGAAGACAATACATCCCTAATAAAATGTCCTAGACTTTTCACTTTGCTCATACTACAAGAATTTTCCAAGCTGATACTGTGTCTTTTAATTTATATGTATATTATTATGTTATTGCATATATATGTATTACTCTATTATTACATATATATTAACAGACACAGTGGTAGCTTTAAAAATACACACAATAAGGATATGGTGTTTTGCCTGTACATATGTCTGCCCATCATAGGCATGCCAGTGCCTGCAGAGGCCAAAAGAGGGTGTTAGATCCCCTGGAAATGCAGTCGCAAAGACTTGTGAGCCACGATGTGGATGCAGGGAATCAAACCAGGGGTCTTTGGAAGAACACCCAGTTTTCTTAACCACTGAGCTATCCCTAAAGCCTGGCTGTTCCTTTAAAGTCAATTTCTTTAGCTTTTCTCCATTTTCTGGTTGAATTATCTCAGATCCTTCCAACAAATTCCATTTTTCTCTTGACTCAGAAAGTCACTTTTGGCTGTAAACTAATAAAGATCCATGACTAAAATACTCACACAGATGAATGCATAGGGAAAGCTTGATTTTTTGAATATTTTGTTTATGCATATTATATATGCTATTACATACTGAAAACAAAATAAGAAATGCTCCTCAAGTACAACACTGGAATTGATTAGAATTTCAATGACTAACACATAAGTATAGTCCAAGCTTGCACCATAAGTTCACCTACATTTACATGGGTTTTAGTACACTAGCGCACATTGGTTTGGTGACTCAAAGTATGATTCACTACTAAAATTAAAAAAGCATTTTCCAATCATTATAAACTTTAGTGTTATTTGTAATTGTAGCTAACTCACTTGTTTACCTTTACTTCACAAAAATCAAGGCAGCTGATTTTGACTAAATATTGTATATTATGCAATGAGGCATCTCAGATAAGTTTAATTACTTACATCAATCGTCCTTTTTTCAAGGGATGAATATTTTAATGTGTTTTATTGGTTTTTGTTGAAACCAGTAGATGTTAATTTTAAAATCAAAAAAAGAGAAATTTATCATTAGAAAAATTTAGGTGAGAAATGGTATCCATTTTTGAAGCAAAACCAGTATTTTTCTTGAAGAATTCCCTCTGCAATTTATTAAAAAAATCAAAAAAGTAGACTTTTATAAGTGAAATTTAACAGAAATTCTAGCTAATCATGTATCAGAACTTAGTAAATTCCTTTTTTTGAAAGATTACAGATCTAAGCTAATTAATTCTATGCACCTCAGTAAATTTCTGTCATTTTAGATATTTACATCTACACAGAATCCTTTGTATTGTAGGAAAATCTTTTTATTCCTTACATTGTGGGAATATCAACCATGTATATATCATTTCTCTTTATTAATGACATGTATTTCCCCCAATGTATTTCCCAGAAGATAAAAATCCAACTGAAAAGTGTGTGTGTGTAGCGGGGATGGGGGGATAATATTGTAAAACCTTTACTTCTTTTTCCTTTAGAACACCTATTACTACATGATAGTATTTCCCCCAAGACGGTTTTTTATTTTATTTGAAGTTGGCAAGAATCTTTTGCTAAATCCTCTGAGCATACCTCTAGTGATAGATGTCAGATCAGTGCTATATGGAAAAACTTTTATTTGACAGGTAGATGACAGGAAGAAAGCTCTCTCCAAAATAGGAGACCTAAGAATAAAATCTTTCCATGAGATTAATATAATCTTTTGCTCTTGTATATAAGTAAATTGTTCATTCTTGCTTCAAGATAATCACTTCATATAATAAATCTGAATAAGGTGAAATGAAGGCAGTTGAGAAGTGAAGTATTAAAATTACAAGTTAGCTTAAGATATATATGTAAATTAAATGTAAATTAGATATATAAGTACATAAATATAAATTCAGCTGGCCTGAACAAGGGGAGAGCACATCAACCCCAGATGCTGTCTGGGAGGCCAGTACCCCTGAACATGGATTTCAATGAGGAGGCTTCTGCACTCCAGGGGGCCCCTTGTGATGGATTAGTATTTTTCCCTGGTGTAAGAAGGGACTTTGAGAGCCCATCCCATGTGAAGGGATGCACTTTTGCCCTGGACACATGGGAAAGGACCCAGGCCCAGCCCAGGATGATGTGGTGGACTTTGCGGAAACCCTGTTGAGGACCCTACCCTGCCTGGGGAGTGGAGGGTGGATGGGGTGGGGGGTAGGTCGGGGTGGGGTAGGAGGGATGGGGGTGAGAGAAGGGAGAGGGAGAAGGGATCGGCATGTGAAACAAGCTTGTTCCTAATTTGAACTAATAATAAAAAAATGCCAAGTTAAAAAATTACAAGTTAGCTTAAGCAATATATGTAAATTAGATATATAAGTACATAAATATAAATTTATACTTTATTTAATATGCATCTTTATAATAAAATACCCAAAGTATAGATTCACAAACTGCACATAAAAAATACAGTCAAACTGATCTAATTAGGGTAGGTTATATGAGCTATAATTGAAAGAACAAGACCATAATAGTTTTACCCTGTAAATACATATATAATTATTCTAGTTTATTCCAAGTATTACCTTATTCTTCTTGGTGTTACCAAATGAACTAATGTGTTTCCCACTACCAGAAGAAGAGAGAATAAAACTATTCTTGATGAAAATCTGGTATTTGCAAGTTATCTAGTCTATTTTGTTACTGTTATTATTCTTATAACTAATAAAAAATATCATGAGTAAAAGGATAGTCAAAATCCCATTACATATGTCATGCTATCACTTGCACTTATGTGTGTTACAATAACCACAATCAAATCATTTTTCATACATATTCATATGTAAGTTTGTGTATTTACACCTTGTATAGGTCAATGTATGAATAATAAAGAAGGTCATATTCATTTGGGATTCTTGTTAAAAGGAATGTCTAGAAGGAGCTAAACTTCTGCATTATTTTCTGATCTGAGAGGAGAATAAACAGTGGAAGCATGGGGAGATGTCAAAGAAAGACTACTTCTCTCCAGATGCATTTTCATCTCAAGCTTCCTTAAAGGCCTTCACCTCAGAATCTGTTCAGTTGTCTGTCTATAACAGACAGATGTTTTATTTTAAAAAGTTGAGTTGATGTGTCTGGACATATAAAATCATTTTGTGGATTTTTGGTTTCTTAATCTCCTTTTCCTAGGTCTCAAAATAATATTCAATTGCCCAGTCAAAGCAGTAATAATATTATTTCATTTTTACAGTTTTAGGCAGATACCTTAACCATCAGTGAGAGCATATTAGCTCAATGCTACCCAGAAACAAAGCGTTTTGTTTTCATACAGCACAATAATCGAATCATATCCAAAGAAAAGTAATCGAATCATATCCAAAGAAAAGTTCCTGGCTCTTTTACTCATATAATTAACCTCTTCAAATATTTCTAGAGACATAAAATAAGCAAAAAGAGAGTAAAATATGAGGTAAAATATATTTTACAAAGACAAATTTGGTATTGTCTATAATCTCCAGAATGATTTAATCAGAGGGCATGATTAAAAAAGACTTCATAGTATTTTGAATTTTATTGCAATAAAATTATAAAATATTTATTTTAATCAAGGTATAGTCCGGAGTTACGTGATCATATTCAATCCTATGGCACATGATTTGGAGTTGATAATTTGTTTCCATTTATATATCATTTCAGCTCACATATCAAAAAACTACTGTTTAGAAATGATATCTTACCTTACAAAGGAAGTTGATCTTGAAGCCCAAAGACTGGGCATTCCTTGAGCCTGAGTTCATGTAGTTTCCTACCAAAAGAACCAGCTCTAAAAGTCTATTAAAGCTTTCACTTTTCTTCAGTTCTTCACATGCAAGAGTTACTGACATGATGCTTGGTTTGATGTTGTTTACATGTTCTTCAAAGGTGAGTTTGAAGAGGATGCTTGTGAGACGAGGCCGTAACATTTTCACTGAGCTCATCTAGAAGATAAGGAGTCTCTATGAGAATGTCTATTTAAAACGTTCTTTCATCTCTCTGTGATAATTTCATAAGCAATATTGTAAGTTCATGCACATAGCCTATTCTCACTGAGATTTAAAATACACTGGTTTTGTTTGTTTTCAGCTTTCCAAGGGAGAGATTTAGGTAAAGTTTTATAAACCAGAAGCAGTCAGATTTGATAAACAATAAACATCATCATGGTTATAACAACAAAATACAGCTGACTGTGAACAGTTTTTCCATGTTAATTACAAACTTTTGGCCACATGTAACATACAAATAGCCAAAATTTGTTCCTAAAATGCATAAAGTTGGGTTGAGTAAATAGCTAGTCTTAGACAGTGAGTGTACACAATGGTAGAAAAACATAGGGGTAATATTTCCTAAGAAATTATCTGTTGGCATAGTGTTGAAACCAGAGGAGTGATGAGGACTAATCGTTTAATAATTGTTCAACTTACGACTTCTGTTCATGACATACATGAACACTTAAATATATCCCAAAGATTTTTCACCTGCATGTCAGATGTTAGTGTTAATATATCATTCAAAATTTTTATGTTGGTTTTCTTCAAAACAGTTCAATTTGGGTTTTAATTACTTTTTTATGTCAAAGTATTGATGCACATTCAAAATTCCTCTTGGTATAACTCCAATAATAATTATTTTGAGGTTTGAATTTCCTTTAGCTCAAAATTATTTAATTAGTTTCCACTTACCAAATGATATCTGAAAAGGTGATGGGTGGAGACTAGACAGACACACAGGAGCATTTTATAAACACACAACGAAATTAGTGAACATGTTTAATTCTACTTAATTTGCATGTGTATTTTAGTCTCTTAAATACAAATGCTGAGCACAGACTAGGCACAGAGATATCTGAAAGCAGCATGAAATTTCACTGAAGCCATGAACAAAAGACCTTTTGTTTCAAACATGTCTTCGCTTTGTATCCAAGGCTGGCCTTCAACTTTTGAAGCAACAGATTTAAATCACAAAGTAACTTCCACTGTGTCCCATGTTCTTAAGTTTTGCATACTGTTCTCTAGCTTTTGAGACTATTTGGAAAACTTGTGGAACCTGTAGAAGTGTGACTCAGCGTGGGGAAGTGAGTCAATGGTGCTGAGTTTGGAAAGGTACAACTGTCACACACTGCTTCCTGGTCTACTGTGTTGTGAACAGCGTTTGCCACATACACCCACTGCCATGAACAGATCTGCCCTGCCATGCCTTCCCTTTCCATGATGGACTAAAGTCTGAAAACATAAACCAAACTAAAACTTGCCTACTTTAAATCAGTTCTGTCAGATACTTTGTCATATGTATGAGAAAGGTAAGTAGTACACCTTCTAAAGCTATACATGAATTATTGGGTTAACCATTTCAGCTCTAGTAGTGAAGCAACACATTTGTCTGGCTCTCCTTTGAGATTAACTTGCCTATTGACCATGGGCATCTGCTTCTCTCTATGGAAATTTTAGCTTCTAAGAATTCTATGTTTTCATAATTTTTCCAGGCAGAAATATAAACGAATGGATATAATATTGCCCTGCTACAGTACTCACATAGCAACTTGCCACTATGGATTATTTTGTTTAAAGTGCACACATTATTCGCATGTTTCTTCAGCACTCTCATGACAAGTACAAAGCACACTACCTATTTTAAGAAGCTTAGATATATCTAGAAAATGGCAACACAGGCACATGAAAACTATAGCTAGCAATATAAAATAGGTCCACAATTCTAGAGAACTTTACCAATGGGGGACAATGTTAAATTCCTGAGACTATGGGGGCATTTCCTTTTCAAACCATCACACGTACATAGTGCAGTGCAATGGCAGCAGATTGTTCCTAGGATGTTTTTGAGAATTAAATAATTCAAGCAGAAAAATTTGACAGAAAATCCTCAATAAATGGTTGACTGCTGTTATTCCTATACTATACTTAATAAATATACTTGTTAACTATACTATTTCTGCTAAAGACAGTATTAAATGAATAAAATCAAATAAACTCAATACTCTGAGTTTATAGGTCAAGAAATTAATTATGGAGTCAAGACAGAATAAAATATCAATACATATGTGTCATTAGTAATAAACCAAGACTGAAAGCTCAGGCATACTTTGCAAAGGTTTTCATTTCTTGTTGATTCTGGACAAAGGGCACTTTGATTAATTGACATCTCACCCAGAAGGTAGATGGCATCATCCATTTGACAAGGGTGCAAGACCAAATCAAACAAGACAAAGATCCTAGGGAAAGTCTGCATTTAACACATGGTCTCCCATTGGTAAAGCTGTTTAGGGAAGTTTATGAAGTGTGGCTTTGCTGAAAGAAGTACAATGCCGGAGGAAGACTGTGTTTATTGTCTATCCCAACTTGTTGTTCACTCTCTAGGCTTCATTACTGTGGCTGAATATGTGTGCTCTCAGATTTCTACTATTGCCCCTCCTGATCATCAAGGAGTTTTACCCTTATGGAACCATAAGCCAAATAAACTCATTGTTACAAAAATCTGCTTTGAATCATGACATTTTATCACAGCAACAAGAAAGTAACTAATATATCATTATGATACACTGTCCATATGCATTATTAGAAACCAGACTGGTTGAATGATGAGTGGCATGGAAGCCATCAATAAGGTAGGTATAAAAATGTCCCAAGAAACAAGTAATGATGTATACTATTGGCAATAGGAATAGAAAGGAAAAGATTTATGAAGGAGAAAGAATTAAGGAAGAATCAACAGTACTTGGTAACTAACCAGCTATGGAAGAAGAAAATCAAACAACTGTTTCAAGGCTTTAATTTGGTTATTCCAATGATGTTGGAATTAATGACAGTTTAAAGAGAGCCTGAAGAAATGGCTTAGCAGTTAGAAGAACTTACTGTTCTTGCCCAAAACCCAAGTTCCCTCAGAACAAGTGGCTCACAACCATGTATAACTCTAATCCCAGGGTACCTGTTGACTCTGTCCTACACCCATGTGCCTACACATATATGCATGCATACGATTAAAAACAAAAAACCTTCAGAAGTTGAAGTCTGTGTTGATGCAGTATTGACTCATGTTTGGTTATTTTGTTTCAGGGATTGTGGGGAAATGAATGTGCTTCTGATCTGTCATCTATACACCAGTAAGCAAATCAAAGACTAAGAGGGTAGAGGCAGGTAGAATACTGTTTAGCAACAATGTCAGTCAAACATAATTTCCTATGTGAAAATAGTCTTCCTACTTTTCAGACCCTCGATTTCCAAAATTGAAAATTCAGGAAAATTTCTGTGACTGTTTTCTATGTTGTAGGAAGATAGAATCAATGATACTAGGTGTATTCCTGTTACTACAGTTTTTTAAATTATCATTGAAGTGGATTTAATTGGCCATTTTCTTTTGTGTCAGTAGTCTTTTTTTTTTTTTTTAGTAACAAAGACACTATTAGCTTCTGCTTATTAAGATTCTCAAGCTTGAAATAATATTCCAATTACTATCATTGGTCACACAATAGTACCTAACATCAACCATTGCCCACATTTTAACATGTCTTTTATTGACAATGTTTACCATTCAAACTCAAGCTTTCTATGTATTACACTTAATTATGTTACCTATATACTTTTAAAATGCCCTAACAGATTTCTCTAAATCCTCTAAATTTTACCCTCTAAATGGGGTGCCTTTATGACTAGGGAATAATACAGATTATTTGATATAGAGCTTTTGTCATTACAATATTATCTGGCAAAATTTTAAATAGAATTAGATTTGTTATATGAATAGATTCTTTGGGAGACAAAATCACTGAAGAGGCAAGTGTGTGGAAAAGAATAGAGAAAAGAGTCAAATTCTGTACCTTGATAAGCACTCAGTGCCGGGTCTTGCATACATTACATATTTTAATATTTGCTGACTGATGTTAACAATAGTCCTTAGATAAATATCCATTTCCAGATTTTTCATGGAGAGACAGATTGTATATTGAACAAAATTAAGAATGGGCAATAATTTATTTTCCCCTAACTAATTACATTATTTATGAGGTCAAATTTGAAATACAAAAGAATTACTTTTGTTGAATTGCTTGGTTTTAGATGCTAATCTATCAATCAATATGACTCAGGAAGGAACTGTACAGCAGTCTTAGCAGCTCTTTGACTCACCATGTACACCAACATTTGATACATGGCAGGTGATGATAAATGATAGCTTATTAAAAATAAATGAATACATTCATTTGCACGAACTGGAACCACTAGTACATTAACAAGATGCATATAAGAAAGAAGCTAGAGGTGGTGTACAGGCAGGCCTAAAATCCCAGTAGATAGGAAGTAGAAATAGAAGAATTAGAAGTGGAAGGTCACCCTCAGCTACAAAGCAATTTCTTGTCTAGCCTTGGTTACATGAGAGTCTATCTGAAAAACACACATAAATACAAACAAAGAATATATAACAGGAAAGGTGTGAAGAAGGCTAAAGGACCTTACATAATATCATTTGATACCAGGTAGTTAACCCTAGAAATACTACCCAGACCCAATATAATCTTTTTGTTTGTATTTCAAGACAGGGTTTCCCTGAGTAATCGTGGCTGACCTGAAACTCAGGTTAGCTTCAAATTCACAGAGATTCACTGCCTCTATCTTCCTAGTGCTGGGATTAAGGTGTGTGCCACAACTGCATGGCTCAATATAATGTATTTTAAGCATAAGGTTCAAGGGAAATCTTTTAGTAATTCCCAGAGAAAGAGAGAATCAATATTTATGTCTATATTTTCCATGCCCCTGCTGTTGGTTGCCAAGGAAGAAACAAGAACTTTTGAGTTTTACAGCCATGAACCCAAACTCCAGTCGTGCCAATTTATAGTTATGTGACCAAGTGCAAAGCTAGCTAATGTTTCTCAGGTTCTATTTCATCAACAGAAAAATGTATTCGTTTCATTATTTATGCATGTTCAGTAGGACAT